TGTTGGCCTGAACTGAAGAAAGGGTTTTCGCAGGTTTTTTGGTAGGTCGATGAGCTGTAAAAAAGGGAGGGCCTCGCGCCGTTTCCAGGCAGGCCCACTCTCACTTCTCCTCGGCCTGGCCTTGCATCCTCTTGTCATTCATCTTTGAAAGACGTTTCAAGACTACCAGCTTTGCTGCTCCCCCTCCTCCTCCCCCTCCGTTCACTTCAACTCGCTCTCTCTCTCTCTCCAGCCACAGAGAGGGGTTAGGGTGATACTAAGAATGAGTGACAAAAAAAATCAGCTCTTTTTTTTTCTAAGAATTAGGGCTAAGCGCAAGGAGTACGGGCCAGATAGTTCCTCCCCACTTCCTGTTTTTAAAAGTGTCACGAAAACTGCTTCTGATGAATTATGGGAAATATGCGGTTAGGTCACATGACCACATGACTTGCAAATCGGCTTTTTTATGGGTCTTCCTCTCTAGAAACATCGGTAAACAACCTGATGCAGCACTTCATCGCAGAGCAAGAGCAGCAACAGCAGCACCCACCTTCATCCCCTCGTCGGCATTTACTCTGCTGCCCTGCACGAGGTGAATGTAGAACGGCTCTTCTATTGACCACAGGCTGCAAATGGTCTGCTGAGAGGAGGAGAAAAATACACAGAAATATGAGTTTTCTGCAAATGATGTTACTAATTTGACATAAGTAGGATTGTGAAGGCCTGGAGGAGCCGGGGGGTCTCCTTCGTTTGTAACCTTTCTCATGTCCTTATTTCAATGAGACAAACCTGAGCCAAGGCCTCCAGTTTGATGGACGTGTATCTGTATGTCCGCACTGAAGGAAATCTAAACGGTACTGATCTCCAGATTACACTGGATTCCAACTCTGTTCTCAGAGGTACGGAGAAAAATACAAAGGCCACTTCAGGCCTGAACAAGATAACAAGCAGGTTTGCAAAAGTCATTAAAAAACACGCTAATAAAACACAAAATTCATAAGTCCATTTAGGAAAACAAATTACTTGCATTCAGGCACACCGGTTTCATTTAGACAGGGCAGCACTCCAACAGCAGTTTAGCAATTTTTTTTTCAAATTTGAGATTGAATTGTTATTAACATTACGCGAAACCGTCCTTGCATAAAATGCTGCTCATAAAATGTAATGATAGAACTGTGACTCAAGCCTTCCTTTTTTAACTCCAGCATGCTGCAAGCTCCGAGCAGAGCTGTTGAGAAACTGGGCAGCATCTGATGCGATCTGGTATTCTGCAACGGGCAGAGTGTGAAACCCATTGTGGAGAGATAGCTGGCACTGTTCATGCTCAAAATAAAAACCAAAAGTTAAGCCTCCCTTCTTCTAGTACCAAGGACAAGAAAAGAGCTAGCTGTCCGCCTCAGATCTGTTAAACCGCAACCCACAGAAGTACAGCCACTGGACGCTTCAGAAATGTGTAAATTTAAGTGTTAAAAAGGCTGTTTAAAAAGTGCTAAAAAGCAAGTTTGGAATATTTTTAAAATCCACTGCATCTCCTTTGGTTCCTCTGGTTGTTTGCCTAGTTAATTTCTTACTGTAATTAAGGCTGACATCATTAGACATCGCTCTGGGACAATCCCAGGTTTCAAAAGTTACAAACGTCTTGCTTTTGAATCGCTATGGCGGTTTTATCCCGTCCTCTGACAGTGGACAGGCGCTGCACCACCCGGCCAAACGCCGTGCTCTCGACAGGGCGACAAATCGGGCACCGCGTGTCAAAACCCCGTCCGGCATCGGGCAGAAAACCCAGAGATACCGCAGCGGAGCGAGACAAAAAGAATGAAAAACGCCCGGGTCGCAGACGAAGAGATGCGGAGATAATTACCGTACTCAGGTGAACCTCAACCCCTCTGCCAACACACCCACACTGACTTGGCGCTTCAGAAATTCGGGCGCGTGAGCTATGGGTCCCACCCCCTCATCTTTGGGTAAAAGTGTTTGCGGAGTGACGAGAAACCGGGCCCGGCATGTGTCCTGTCCAGTCGAAGGACGAGGAGCGGTGGGCTGCGCGAACGACGCCGGCCGGCCGGTCGCGTCTCACCTTCTTCAGAGGCAGCGGGGGAGGCTTGGAAGAGGACCGACCCTTGGACAGGTGCTTGATGAAGCCGCCCTGCTCGTCCTGCAGCTTGCTGATCGTGGAGTGATGCACCATGGTCAGCTGGGGTGTCAGCCCGCCGTGCAGACAGGAACAGATGTACTGGAGGAAGGAGAGGAGAAAAAGGGAAAATTCAAGCTCATCAGTGTTAACTTTGCAAAACATACTCAAAAGCTGCACTGACAAACAGTACGTGGGCTGTGAAGGTTAAGACTGTGTGGTGTCCTGCTATCTCTGGCGCGGATATCGACGTAGAGGCTCTCCAAAAGAAAAGGCTGAGAGGAGCATGAGACTCCATGAAAGCTTACAGGAGCTGCTATTATATAAGAGTACCTGTTTTGATCGACGGAATCCCTGTGATGCAAACTAACATTTAAAGCCTGAAGTGAAACAGGGAATAATGCCTCATCTTTGTGTGTGCCAAGGGCCTTATTTTTTTAATTATAAAGCACAGGTGCACTGGTACGTTAACCTGCAGAGAAAAACAGGACGCCATCCAACAGGAGTTCCTGAAAAACAACCGGCGCTTACGACTGCTGTTGCTGCTGAAAACGAAAAACACATGAATCACGGTAGTGAGAGGTGCTTAGTTTCAGTATCATCTTGAACTTTCCAAGCCACACATCTCGCAGAGCAGCCCGAGCTGGTGTGTGAAAAAAAAAAAGAACAACAGCCGGGCCTCAGCTCAACTGCTGAGGTGCAAACTCTGAGAAATCAGTGTGTCAACACCATCACCGGGCACTTCAATAATATACAGAATAATCTGAAAAAAGAATCTGGTAATAACGCAAGTATAAAAAACAGCACTCAGTGTTAAGGGTTAAGTAGCAGTTTCATATCGGCCCTGCAGGATGAATCAAGGGAGAAGAGCTATGTAAACAGCACACAGCAGGTAAGGGTCTGACACTTGGGCTGGTGTCTGCTCAGCCAGTGAATCTGTTCATTCCGAACACCAGTGGGCCCTGCTGTCCGAACATCGCAGGTTCGAGCCAGGCTGTCCTCTCCCTGCCGCGCAACCAGCCCCTTGGCAGGAGGAGCCCCGTCTCTCCTCCGGTCACCTGGAACGCGCGACACAGGGAACGTCCGGCACACAGACACAGAGGAAGCCACGCTCTGCCCAGACCCGCCCCGGGCTCCAGACAGAGAGGGTTCAAAAAGAAAAATAACTGCTGACACCGAGTGGGGAAAAAAAAATTCCCGGGTGTCGCAAAGGATTAAACATTAAACACGCACAGCTCCTCCTTCTTTCACATTTGCTCACAGCTCGAAACGCAACTGAGCACATTCAGACCATCATGACGGCAAGGCGCAACACAACCAGCTCTCGAACAGCTCAGGGCTGGCGGAAGATACTCTCGTTTTGTTTCAGGACAAAGCTGCTAGTACAAGGCAATTCTGGAGCGCCGGGGGACTCACTTTGAACTGGCTCAGGGGGTAAAGTCCGTAGATGTATTCACACCTGCCCTTCACCTGCAGGGTGTAATCCTCCGGCTTCTCCTGCTTGGGCTGCCGGAAGACAGTCGCTTTCTTTTTCAGGACGCATTGCATTAGGGTCAACGGGACGTCCTGGGGCTGGACCTGGAAAGCGAAGCTCTCCTGCAGAAGGGAATCGAGATAGGGAGGAGGGGGAGGGACAGATGTTTCAATATCCAAGCTGAGGAAAAGCCAGTTTTCAATGAATAATGAGTCGGCCCATTTTTATCCTGATTAACCAGTACAGTGAGGTGAAGGAGGGCAAGTTAAATATTTGCATCTTGTTGCTGCGCAAACATTGCGATAGTCATATCTTTTACAGAGTTACTCGGCATGCTTCATCACTGGCGGCTTCATTAGAACAAGGACAGGCTGTGTGAGGGGTTAGGCCTCGGGGGTCTCAAACTCTGCACCTGCAAGATCACGGGATCTACTGCTTATTGGGATCTACTGGCTTTTTGACGGTCTCTTGCTATAAACACTTCCTGGCAGCTGAAGGTGCGTTCACAGGGACGAACACCCATAAACCCATTCAAAGCCGCGTGACACGAGGGGCTCCGGAAGGCCGTGCCGCGCTCACCTCGCTGGACTCGAACTTGACGCTGACGATGAACTTGCGGCTGATGCGAGACATCAGCAGCCCCGTCTCCAGCACCTTGGGGCAGGGCTCCAGCTCGCAGGGGAAGTTGTACTCCATCCACTTCTCCCAGGGCAGCTGCTGCCGATCCATGGCCCTCTCCTCGCAGAACGGCCGCATCTTGGAGCGGAACTCGTTGACTTCGTGGTTCTTCAGGGAGTCGAACTCGTGGAGACCTGCGGAGGGGGTTGAGCGTTATCTTGGG